TGTATCATCTCTGTTTTACCTATAAAATTATTAGGTAGCATAAAAAGTTCATCACTGTTATTATCTTTTTGGAACAAAATTAGAGTCGTACTTAAATGCACACGCACATACATTTAGTGAAGAAACAAAAATTTCGTAGCGATAGTTTTATCTACTCAAGTTTTCCACCAAAAAAATGGATTGACGCTAGTTATTTAGTAACATTAGTCACAATATCTAAAGTTACTGGTGACAAACTAGTTTCATCTCTAATATTGTAGGCAACTAGTGAAAATTATTATTTGTCTAAAATTAGTTATATTTTAGCGGTGAAAAAGCTTGGTGACTAAGAGGGTGTTTGGCTAAGCTTATAAGCTGGTCCACTTCCCAGTAGGACTTAAAGTCTCTTTCTAGAGTCCCTATGCAACCGTTACACTTCCTAGTAGCCATATCCGCTCCTCCATGCGGACATTACACATCCTAGCAGCCCCTTCCACTCCTCCATACATCTATTACACTTCCCAGTAGTCCCTTCCACTCCTTCATGCAACCATTACACTTTCCAGTAGTCAATTTCACTCCTCTATGCACCATTACACTCCTCCACGCAACCAGTACTCTCCTCCATGACTACAATTAATTATAGAAGCTTGTCTTTATCCATCCGCCTATATAGATTTTGGATTTTTTTTAACTTCTACCATATAATGGCAGTGCACTTCACATATTTTGGATTTTTTTAAACTTTTTTTTACGCTTCTACCATATAGTGAGAGTGCACTTCATAGATTTTATCTCATAGTCTTAACCTTCATCTTGGTGGTTGAATTCTAATTAATAACGGATCGGTCTCCAAAATTTTGTAGTGGTAAATACAATTTTTGATTTTTCGTGTTGCTTTTTCCACTTCTCTATGAGCAAAGTAATGTCAATTTTTAAACTTTAAAAAAAAAATCTTCCTAGTTTTGTTCTTGGTGGTAAAATGATAGAAAAGAATAGGCGGACTTCTGCACTAAATATATTGTTAAATGATTTCTCAATTTTAATTGGCTATTTTTAAACCAATAGTCTTCTTAAAATAAATAAATATAACAATAATAAATGGAAAAAACACAAACAATATTATAAAGAACAATTATATTAATCCATTACTTTGATCCACTTGAAGTTAGTAAATATAACTAAAGAGAAGAAATTATCAAGCTAAACATTAGTTTATCCTAGCACTTCAACAAAGAAGATCACAGCCCTTGATGTAGCCTGAACTAGTTCCAAGAGAAGAACACTCCCTTTCTTCATATTATTGTCGACAATAAATTATTTCCACCATTAACGAGTCTTCTCCAAACACCACTTGTGGAAGTCACGGCCCATTCCTTCCCATTATATCAAAGCATTATTTTAACCGAAATAGGAGGAAGATAGCCAAAGATACTCTTTGGAAGAAACTGCAAGAACATAATGTAAAGATAAGGTTCATGGTTCATTGCTAGTTGGGATAATCAACAGTTATCAAATCATGAAAATATTATAAAAAAAATTACCACATAATCACGCTTGATGTACGAACTGGGCACGTCCATCCGAAACCATTGATAGAATTCATCTTCAATCCATCCTCTAGCATTCATGTTTAGAGTATCTATTTTGTTTAAAGAGTTAGAAATGTTGTTCTTGTGTTTAAGAGATATATAAAGACTCAAAACTTTCTATTTTCCTCCAATCATATTTTTACTTTTCCCTTTGTTTCCCTCCGAAAATTGTATTTGACATTTTAGTCCAAAAATGTCATCTTGTTTTCCCTCCTAATAAAGTTCTAAAATTTAATCATAATTTTTCTTTTATTATAATTAAGATATTTGGTGAAGATTATTACAATTAAGATTAACCGATAAAAATATGTCGAATTATATATTTACTATTATATAAACAAGGTCATACTAGTGAATAGACTTATATGGTTGCTATAGACAGATAAGTATGAAATTAATATAAACGACTATTATATAAATAGTCGATATTACTAAGAATCACAACGATATAATTAGCATAGGTTATATGACTACAACCATATTAGTCAATGGACTTATATAGTTGCTATAGGCCGATATGTTTCGGATTACGGGTGCATTTCATGTGGCGCGGTCCAAAGACATGCTTTAAACGACGTTAAATCTTCTTTAAAAATGAAATAAAGCGGTTAGTAATTTCTAAAATTGTACCATAGGCTTAAACATGTATTAAAATCAGATAATAGGCCAATTATAATAGTTTAAGAGACCGCGCTAGAACCACGGAATTCGGGGGTGCCTAACACCTTCCCTCGGGTTAACAGAATTCCTTATTCAGAATTTCTGGTTCGCAGACTTCAAAAGGAAAGTCGAGTTTTCCTCGATTTGGGATTTTAAAATAAACCGGTGACTTGGAACACCAATTAAAATATTCCAAGTGGCGACTCTGAATTGAATAAATAATCTCATTTCGAATAATGTCACTTAAAGTGGAAAAACTCCCTTATATACTATCCTTCGGGGTGGTGTGTAAAAAAGGAGGTGTGACACTATTATATAAACGGTCGATATTACTAAGAATCACAACGATATAATTAGCATAGGTTATATGACTACAACCATATTAGTGAATGGACTTACATGGTTGTTATAGGCTGATATGTATGAAATTAATATAAACGGCAATTATATAAACGGTCGATATTACCAAGAATCACAACGATATAATTACCTTTTGTTATATGACTTCAACCATATTAGTCAATGGACTTATATGGTTGCTATAAGCCCGATACGTATGACCATAATGAATTAACTTATATAAACGACTATTATATAAACGGCCGATATTACTAAGAATCAAAATGATATAATTACCATAGGTTATATGACTATAACCATATTAGTGAATGGAGTTATATGGTTGCTATATGCCGATATGTATGAAATTAATATAAACGACTATTATATAAACGGCTGATATTACTAAGAATCACAACGATATAATTGGCATAGGTTATATGACTACAACCATATTAGTGAATGAACTTATATGATTGCTATAGGCCGATATGTATGAAATTAATATAAACAACTATTATATAAACGGTCGATATTACTAAAAATCCCAACGATATAATTATCATAGGTTATATGACTACAATCATATTAGTGAATGGACTTATATGGTTGCTATATGCCGATATGTATGAAATTAAGATAAACGACTATTATATAAACGATCGATATTACTAAGAATCACAATGATATAATTACCATAGGTTATATAACTTCAACCATATTAGTCAATGGACTTATATGGTTTCTATAGTCCATACGAATGACCATAATGAATTAAATTATATAAGCGGCTATTATATAAGCGGTAGATATTACTAAGAATCACAACGATATAATTATCATAGGTTATATGACTTCAACCATATTAGTCAGTGGACTTATATGGTTGCTATAGGCCGATACATATGACCATAATGAATGAAATTAATATAACCGGCTATTATATAAACGGTCAGTATTATTATGAATCACAACTATATAATTAGCATAGGTTATATGACTACAACCATATTAGTCAATGGACTTATATGGTTGCTATAGGCCGATACATATGACCTTAATGAATGAAATTATATAGACGACTATTATACAAGCGACCGATATTACTATGAATCACAACGATATAATTAGCATTGGTTATATGACTACAACCATATTGGTCAATGGACTTATATGGTTTCTATAGGCCGATACGAATGACCTTAATGAATGAAATTAATATAACCGGCTATTATACAAGCGGTCTATATTACTATGAATCACAACAATATAATTAGCATATGTTATATGACTACAACCATATTAGTCAATGGACTTATATGGTAGCTATAGGTCGATACGAATGACCTTATTATAAACGGCTATTATATAAACGGCTATTTGACAACTACCTCATCAACGTGCTATATCATTTTTGTATCTTTTTTTAGTTTTCTCTTCAAAGAATATGCATTATTCTTCGAATATTCGTAAAAATATTGTCCAAGTATTCTTCAATGTATTTTTGTATCTTAAAAATATTCGTAAAATTTTTTTATGTATCTTTTTTTAGCTTTCTGTTCAAAGAATATGCATTATTCTTTGAATATTCGTAAAAATATGTTACAAACATTATTCTTCAATGTATGTTTTATTTTTTATGTTTAATGGCTCCAAACTAGTTTCTAGGTCAGCATTCATGTTTAGGTTAGGGAGAAGGGTGGTGAATTATGCGTTTAATGAAGGCTTTCTTAACATAAGTGTATGGTATAAGTTTGTATACCGTATAAAAAATTATATTATGTATAGATACTAGACTTTTGATCTTCCCATCGTATAAATTGTATTTTTTAAAAAATACGTATTAGTATAGGTATACACAACGAAGACTTTTGATCTTCCTATCCGTATAAATTTTATTTAAAAATAAAATAAATACGTAATAGTATAGGTATACATATGAAGTTGATTGATCTTTCCTATGAGAGAATGATAATTTATGGGACCAATATTTTGGGATAATCAATATTTATTAACTAATTTTGGAGGGAAAAATGGCCATTAAGCCAAATGTGAAATGAAGGGCTTTAGTGGTGTTTTACCAATGTGATCATTTTTGGGCCACGCTGAGTTTGGCCGAATAGCAGCTCTCTTTAATCTAAACCTTGCCTTGTTCATTAATTGTTTGGTAGCTACTCACAAAAAAACTGAATTGGAGCATGCATTATTATAAATATCAAATGAAGCCGTCGTTGTCTTAATTTGAAAGAAGAAAAGCGACAAGTAACTACTCTGCCCATGCATTTGTGGGATTGTTGATTTTAGACACGCCACGCAAATTAGTTACTTACCATTAATTAATTACTACTGTTTCTTAATTAAAATCATCATTATTGCCAAAAGGCTTGTTCACCAAGCAACCGCCTTTGTTTTTTCCTAAAAATAAAAAAAATGAGCCTTAATTTCTGCTTCTTCTTTCCTCCCTTAGTCCCTATATATAAATGTCCATCACCTTCAACATTTCAAGCAAATTAACTACATTCTGTTAAATTTCCCGATGGCTTTCAATTGGGTTTTTAATGTTGCACATACAATTGTTGTTGGAAACCCAGTTGAAGCCAACAAATTACCACAGAACAAGAGCATCGCTGTTTCAAATGGAAAACAGGAGCAAGATATAGAGAAGACTGCTATAATGGGGTTCCAAATGCCACTGCATTATCCAAGATACACAAAAGCTGATTACCAGAATATGGAGGAATGGAAACTCGACGCACTTCTCAGAGAATATGGACTTGTTTTTCAGGGGACAGTTGACGAGAAGAGGCGATTTGCCATGGGAGCATTTCTGTGGCCGGATCAACTTTAACTTATATACTCGTCCGAATTGAGAGAGAGCTCAAGAAAACAAACGTGCTAATTAGAATCTTCTGTGTTTTCCTCATAATAGCCGAATACTCAAATGTATTTGAGATTAAAGCATAGTTTTTACTTACTATATTGCTCGGATGTCTAAAATTGTTGCGTCCGATCCGCGCCATATATAAGTTTATGGGTTCGAGATTCTAGTTCTTTTTAAGTTATTGGGTTCTAAATCATAATTTGTACATATTTCATGAATTTCACAAGACCTACTGGATTTTGCCAAACCCGTTAGCAGAAGGATAGCTCTGCCTCTGGCGTTGTTGCTATGTGCGTTTATAATTGTAGAGTCTTCCTTCTTCAAATATCTCGTAATATACAAAAGGAAGTCAATACTCACGTTTGCTGTTTACTTCCTTGTTAGTTTTATCGTCTACTTAGTTAATTCCAATCACGTTTCTCATTGAAATATCATTCTAGTTCTTACCTTGAGGACATTACGATAAATACTAAGTAAAAGATTTTCTAGTGCAGATAGTTTACACAGTTTTGGCTTTTGAGGACATTGTTATTCCCAGACAAAAAAAGGAAGAGGACATTGTTATTGAATAAAGCAGGGCCCAGTTCATTTTGACACGTCACACTTATATATGAGGCTGTAACGTGCTCCCATACTGAACAAGTACATATGTTTTTGGCTATACGTCAAAAGAAAAAATTTACACCGTGGATCTGTATAACTTAAACACGTTATATTTTGGCAGAATAGCCTAATAAACATTCGTACTTGTATTTTTTTGATATCCCGGTTCTTCTACTTTACGCATTTTTATCTAGACACTTTTACTTAATCAAAACCAATTCTTTAAACCCCTCTGACCGTTGACCGAGCTTGTGTGGTTTTAATATGACTGAGATAGACAAATTGCGTGTAATTCCACGTGCAAAGAGAGTGATACTAATAATTTTAATTATTATAAGAGGATTAAACTCAGAACAAAATAAAAAGAAATAAAGTTAAAATATTAATCAAAAATAAAATTTGAAAACCCAATCTCCTCCCCCTCCCCCATTTTCTGCTCTTCCTCAATTACCCCCCCCCCCCCCCCTTCATGTAGTTCCAAACCCCTTGTCCCCCTCACTCTTTTTTCCTCAACGCCACCGAAAACAATGGCTAAGGCTTCAAAATTCCAAAATCGGGTAGAAATATATTAGCTTTCTCTGTTTTAATAAAATAACCTTTTATTTCTTCTTTCATTTCCTATATAATGAAAATTCAATTGATTTCTCCACTTAACTTCCAGAAATACCTTTGTTTTCTTCTTCCTTCTTCTGTTAACTCAAATCAATTGATTAGTTCTTTACTAAAAGCAATGACAGAGAAAATGAAATTCCAATTAATCAGATCTTTAGGTGATTTCTGTACAAGAAAATACTCGCTGAGAAAATCAATGATGTGGCATAGTCTTTTGCTGAGCTAGATGCTAATGTGTAATCCACTCGGTGCGACTGAGGGACATACTCGGTTAGAGGTGTTTAAAGGATTGACTTTGATCAAGTGCCGGTACCTAAATGAAAACTTGTAAAGTATGAGGAGCGGGATGTCAAATCAGTACAAGTATGAGTGTCTATTAGTCTATTTTGCCTTATATTTTTGTGGGAGGTTGTGAGGTGCAATTAGATTATACATAGTTCTTTTATTTTCTGCTTTCATTAATTCATGATGAGTGTGCTAAGAGAGAAAATAAAAGTTCAATTACATGATGAGTTACTCCCTTCGTTTTTTTGGGGTTTTCCATTCGGTTTTCCAATATCCATATTGAGGTTTGACTAAATTCGAATTCGTACTAGAAAACAGGGACGACTCGACTTATTTGGTGGACTAAAGCCAAACATTAATATGAGGAGAAAAACTTCATATATTATAGTCTAGTTGTAAACTTTTGAGATGCAAAATTATTAATAATTTTTTCTAATTAATTTTCTTCAATTGACAATATAGCTAATCATTTTAACATTTTTAAGACGTTACTGATTTTAGGTAAGATTTTATTAACCTAAATCTTGAATTTTTTTTCGGTTGAGGCAATTATTATTTGAATTATTAACATTATTATTATATAGGAATTTAAAAGAGAATACCTATTAATTTGTAATATTTCTGTACTTTTCTATACGCTCTCTAACTCTATTAATTTATTCTTTTGACATCTTTATCAATTATTTTTTTTTTTTGTACAGTGTCAGTTCTTAATCAACCCTTACACTCATATGAAACTGATTCTACGATGATATTTTAGCGAAGAATTAAAAGAGACTCATAATTTGGGTTATATACCCACTGTTTATGTCGAATGCAAATGGCCCAAAAAGATATTCATTCACAAATTAGGTCATGTAACATAAAAAAAAAATTCTTTTTCATTTTTATCACAAATTTATATTTTTTATCTTAATTCAATATGTCAAATTGCACAATCTAGGTGCAGAAACTAACAATTAACCAATGATTCAGTGTAATCTGTAGAGAGAGAAACCTAGAGAGAAGGGAGAGAAAAGAACGAAATTTCCATTTCTATTTTTTTTGTTGGAATCATTGTTCAGTCCCAACAGTTACTTATTTATCCCCAAGTTTAACTAATTACACATAGGTCCCTAGTTGCTTATTGATGCTTCTAATCTTGATACTCCCCCTCAAGCAGTGAAAGGTATCCAACACTCCCATCTTGGACACAAGGATCTGATGTTGTGCAGTTCCTAAAGCTTTGGTCATTATGCTTCAATTTGTTCCTTCGTGGAGATGTATTGTGGTGAGACCAGTCCATCTTTAATTTTTTCCCTCACAAATGACAATCTATTTCTATATGCTTAGTCCTTTCATGATAGATTGGATTAACATCTGTAAAGCTGCTTTGCTGTCATAAAATAATTTCATAGGTATTTTAACTGCAATGCCTAGCTCTTTCATTAACCGTGTAAGTCAAACTACTTCAAACACCACAACAGTTATGCTCCTATATTCTGCTTCTGTAGAACTTCGACTGGTCTGCTATTTTTTTGACTTCCATGAGATTAATGAATCTCCCAACTTCACTACATACCCTGTAATAGACCTTCTTGTGTTTGGGCATGCTGCCCAGTCTGAATCACAGAAGGTTGTGACTTGTTCCAGGGGTTCTTTCTTCAATAATACACCTCTTCTTAGAGATCCTTTTATGTACCTTACCACCCTTAATGCTGCCTATAGATGAGACTATTTTGGATGCTGCATGAATTGGCTTAGCATCTGAACATCAAAGCATATGTCAGGCCTAGTCATGGTTAAGTAGATTAGCTTTCCTATAAGCTTTTGATATCCAACAATGTCATGTAGTTCTTCATCTCCTGTGACCCTAATATGTCTATCGTAGTCTACTGTTGTAAGTTTCTGATTTTGTTCAAGAGGTGAACTTGGTGGTTTTCCCCCACTCAGTCCTACTTCAGAGATAAGACTAAGTGCATATTTCCTTTGATTGAGAAAGATTCCCTTCTGTGATCTCATGATTTCTATTCCCAGGAAATACTTTAACTTACCTAAATCTTTAACTTTGAAGCTCGGGTGCAGTGTTTCCTTTGCTTCTTTTATCATGGTTAGGCAGCTTCCAGTGATCAATAAGTCATCAACATACACCAATATAATCACCACATCTGCACCATTTTTCTTTGTAAAAAGTGAGTGATCATAGGCACTTTACAAATACCCTGCCTTTGTAAAAGCATCAGTCAATTTAATATTCCATTGCCTAGAGCTTGTTTGAGGACATAGAGGAACTTTGATAGTTTACATAGTTTAGATTCCCCCTGCCTATAAAAATCTTAGGGCAAATGAATATAGACTTCTTCATAAAGGTCTCCCTACAAAAAGGCATTGTTGACATCCATTTGAAATAGATGTTAGTTCTTGGAGGCTGCTAGACTAATTACAATCCTAAATGTTACCATTTTGGCAACTGGTGAAAAAGTTTTAATGGTAGTCTAAAACTTCTTGTTGTGTGTAACCTTTAGCCATAAGTCTTGCGTTAAATCTCTCTATATCTCTATATGGCTTATATTTGATTTTGTATACCCATTTAGAACCAATTGGCTTTTTACTCAAGGACAGGTCTACAACCTCCCAAGTGTTGTTATCTTACAAGGCTTTGATCTCATCCTTCATAGCCTTGTGATGCCTTTGAGAAAAAATTAGGTTCTGCCTCAGCTGTCAAAGCGCTTGTATCATTTTCGAGTCTCTGAGTACCCTATGAAGACTGTTCTTCTTGTTCTTGATGCAAACTTGTCGCCCCTAGGTAGTGTTCTTGCATAGCACAAACAACCAAACACTCTCAAATGGTCAATTTTTGGTTGTTTTCTATGGAACATCTCAAAGGGGGATTTGCCTCCTAATACCTATGAAGGCAGTCTATTGATCAAATGCACAGCAGTCTTCGTACAGTCTCCCCAAAACTTCACTGGCATGCCACTTTAAACCTCAATGCCCTAGTTACTTTCAGAATATGTCTATGCTTCCTCTCCTTAACTCCATTTTATTGTGGAGGGTAAGGACAACTGCTTTGTGAACTATACCAAGAGCGGTAAACAGATCATTGCACTGAGTATTGAAAAAAATTGTGCCATTATTTGATCTTATTGTCTTAATCATAGTGTCAAGCTGATTCTTAATTAAGGGAAAGAAATCTTTTAACACAAACTCTGGCCCCTTTTCACTTTTTCACTTTTCGATTTCAGAGCTGCTTGATTTACCCTTGAATTCTCCACTTAACTATAAACTCTTCAAATCTTCATACGTTGCTTTCCAGATCTTCATATCTTTATCTTCAAATCTTCATACCTTCAAATCAGATCTTTATATCTTTATTCCCATCTTCAAATCTTCATCCCCAACTTCAAACCTTCATATTTTTCAGAATACGATGCAAAAAACATTCAAATCCGTGCCTAAACAAACCGCCCCTTCAACTTCCAACCCGGCCACCGCTATCGAGGTGTCCGTTCCTGAGGTGGTCTCGGAGCCTCCTCTGAAGAGTTTCGTTCCTGGGGGCTGTTCCATCGAAAACGACTTCAAAGTTGAGAAGGCTTCCAATAAGCAAGACTGAGGCAAGGGGGTATGGAGGTATATATCCTCCGTCAACGAAGATATACTCCTCACAGTCCGGGTGCTATGCAACTGGAAGGGAAAATAGGTGGTCGTTCCTGGGTCCAATGAGGACATCACCACTCACATGGAGGGGTATTTAAGTGTTTACACTTATCCCTTCACGCTCGCCTCGGTGGACCCTATAATCCTCCGCTTCTGCAAAAGGTACGAGGTCTGGCTTGGGCAGATTCACCCGTCCTTTTAGAAGATCATAATCCTCCTCCTCCACTTCGTAAGAA